GAAACTGAAGTTTTCTGAAACTGAAGTTTAGGACACAGAACACTCATTTTGCTCGCTGCCTCCCTTCTTACAAACATGAAATTTAAGTTAGTGCTATCTGTTGCTATCAGCAGCAAAGGAAACAATACAGTCATTTTACTGTAGTGAAGAGGGTCTCCATTTCCACCAAAAAGAGCAGCCCACAAAACCCTGTCCCATATCATGGATACATGTTTCCCAGACCAGTTAAGAGACTGGAGAAAATACAGGCAGCACACCAGTATCTTCCAAAGGTCTGTTGCCTTCAGTGCCAGTCCTACCACCACAAAAACATCCAGAATAGCGACAACCAAGACAGAACTATTGCATACAGAGACAAGAAGGAGAAACTTTGGTTAGTATCATCTGTATTACCAGGAAATTTTATCTTCAATTCAATGCCAAAATTCACCAAATTCATATGACCCAGAAAGAAACTTTTTTAATATATACTACTTTTACCTCAAATTGAGAATGCTCATTTTTTTTTTCTCTATTTTTATTCACTCCCTGTCATGTGGAATAATTAATAAATTTTAAGAGGCCTATGAAACATGCTCAACATTTACAATTTTTTCCTGGTTTTGGCTGATTACTTCCCCCCCCCGCCCCCTCCCCCCAAACACTCTGAAGACTCTTCTTTCTCCATTTACCTCCTACCTGCTTTTGGGATGAGTTGCTAGATCTAATCTTACTTTTCAGGAGTTGAATGCTAATAAGCCTTTCCAACTAAGAGAAGCTGGCAAGGGTTCCACACTTCAGATACCCATCAGATCACCCCACAGAGCCCCCAGATTATGCACAAATGGATACTATACACCAAAGCAGTCATTAGGTGTAACAATTCCTCGCACACTGCTGTTAAATAGATAGAACAGCTTAAGCGTATGGGCGAACTTTTCCCCTTTGACATACCAGTAGAAAACTCTGATTTTTTTCCCCCCTTCCACAGAAACCGGATACAACACACCAGCATGTATCAGTCCATTTTTCATCACAGCATTAGGAATGAGATTTTAACAAAATTGTATTTTTTAGTAGACTCTTTCTCCCCCTGAAGTTTACAAAATAATTTTTAAATCTAGAGGCCTATGCAAAAACCTTCTTTTATTCTGGCAAAACTCCTAGTAAGAGTAGTTATGTCATTTCTACTGTATTTCACTGTTACCTTACGTTATATCCACAAGAAGATCCACAGTCCTGAATGTTGCAACATTCAACCAATAAATTGAGTTCATGACACAGCTAAGAGTATCTAGCCAGCTACTGATGAACGGGACAGTCCTCCCATCCTTCCTCCAACAGCTTTTGCCACTCCCCTTGCATTGAACTTGGTAATCATCAACTAAAAGGTTTGGTTCAGAAGGTTTTTTTTCCTTCTTTTTGCTGTGCATGAGAATTTCAGCACATCAGCCAGCTGACCTGGCTGGGATAACCACTAGATGTGACCCAGGGAAAGCAAGAAGGAGGAACTGCTCTGGAGCAAGGTGGAGCAGGAGTACCTGCCTAGCAGCAGCGGGATGATAAACCAGTAACATGAAACTGTGTCCTGACATAACCCCAGACAGAATTCGGGAGGCAGACTGTTGACTGCATAGTCATCTAGGATTACCACAAGAAACACCACTTAAAATAATATCCATTTCTGGAATCCAGGCACTCAGGTCCAGATCTAGGGAGAAGTACTCTCTCCAATAACCCTCCATCCTGCCAGAAATAAGCTTCTATTTTCTTGCAAAAGCAAAGATCAGCCCCTTCTTCAGAAAAAAAAAAACCCACAAAAAAACCCAAAACCCCAAAACAAACCAAACCCCAGTTGGAGAGAAATAGTAATAAAACAGCAACAAAAAAATAAGAGAGATACAAATACTTCATTTTAGACATCAAAACCAGTTAAACCAACTAACCAGGAAATGGTAAAGACACTGTTTCCAAAGTGAGAAATTCCAAATCTCATCTGTCCCCTCTCAGATGAATGCTCTTAACCACCCTGAGAAAGAACAGAACGACACATTCTGAAGTTGATGTAACAGTACTAGGACATAAATTCAACATAAACCACCTGGCAATTATGGTACTGTGACTGGAAAGAAAAGGAAGCTTCTGTTCTCACTGCAAATGCTTAAGCCTTTATCTTTATTTTGCTGAATGCTTTAATGCAAAATATCTTTATTGTAGTTTTCTACAGGGGTGGCTCTTCTGCAGCATTTACCTTATGTATGATATATGCTTATGGCAGAGAGTTAGAATTATTAGCAGGTTTAATTTAAGAACTCTAAAATGGATATATTTTAAAACATAATACATAGCTAAACATTGTCTTCTAAAGCCATGCCAGACACTTGACTACACATACAAAAAGGTCACTTAACATTTCAGATAGGTAGTCAGCAATAAAAATAATATCTTAATACAAATTGCAATGTTAGACACAAATCTAGCAGAGATTTATAACAAAGGACAATGAGGAAAAACTAGACAAGCCTAAACTGCAAATCCTTAAACCTCTATTATCAAATATTGCAGTTCAGATTTGCAGAAATTGCCCATTTCTCCTCTAAAATATTTTGCCAAATTACCTAAAATTTCCTTATTTTGGTTTAGAAACCAGACAACAGTGCATCCAGATAAAAAAACCCCAAAACTGCTCAGCAGCTGAGCAGGCAACTACTACAGTCACAACTGAACTATGTTCTGTATACAAGTTAGTAACAAAATACTATGTATCTTGTGTAACATTTTAAGAAAAAAAGGCATTTGTTCAATTAAAGCTGCCTTTGGTTAGGTGCATCATCCCATATCTCTCTAAGGCATTACAGAACCAAGGGTTTGCTTACTACCAAACTGGTTAATTGAAGTTGCTGCTCCTGAGTAATTCCAAGTCTACAGGTATATCGTGTTCTGAAAAGAGAGAACATTTTCTGAGCAC